ATGCCTGTTACCTTCTAATGATGCACCTTTCATCCCTTTTCCCTAACCAAGATGTAACGTATGGTATACTGGTAAGTGTGACCATAACGTATCGCATGTCCGGATTCGAACCCCGGATCGATACTCGCCCAGGCCAAGCGGGTCTTTCATCTCTCCGGGTTGCTTAATCAACATCAGACTTGCCCAGGATGATCTAAGCATTGACTCGCCCATCGCCTGGACACCGACATCTGCACTTAAAATGTCACTACGATCCCGAATGTAAGTCGAATGCATGGCGCATACTAGAAACAGTACTGGACCCAAAACATCTGATCCTCTTATCCATTATAGGTGTTCTGGCATAGTTTTTAGGCTGCTTTCCTTATTTCGTCGAGAATGAACGAGGTGGAAAAGCATGTGTATGAGTGAGGTGAGGTCAGGTAATTTGTTAAGTAAGGCTTAGAGTTTTCGTAAAAATGATGCGGAAAAGGAGTGGAACTGTCACTGCTTCAGCTCTCCTCCCGAGAAAAATCTGTGGAAGTGTGATTGTAAAAACTGGTAATTAAATCTTGAACCTACTCAGGTACTCATCAACGCTGTTGCTTTTATGTTGTTCTAATCCAGACAGTAGTTCCATAGTAATCAGATGTTAATTCTCAAGCTACAGTTATCCCAGACTGTGTCGGTTGGAACATCTCAAACAGTTTCTTGCACGCTGCCTTAGCAAGTGCAGCTTTCCCTGCTCTGGCATTCTTATAATTAAACCTGAAGTGCAATGTATAAAACAATTTTATTGCATTTAATCGAAACTCAGGGATCTTCTACATAGTGAAAGAGAACGCCATGAAGATCTCCCCTGATCTCCCTGATTACATCCTTCCACCAGCTCTATATGAATATCCTCCAGCTCCTCCATACGAGTTCATTCCTCCGAACGGAAGTCCACCAGGCCTGACATACGAGCTTCCTACTTGTCCGCCGGGGAATGATCCTCCATAAGGATTTCCTCCTGGCCCGCCGAATCCTCCTGGAAAACCTCCTCCGGGAACCAGTCCGAACGGATTACCCCCTTGTCCGCCTGGAAATGGCCCTCGAGGTACTCCGTATGGATTTCCTCCTGGTCCTCCAGGATAAGGCCATCCAAGTCCCCCATACGAACTTCTTAACTCTTCATTAGTGAAGGGGCCTCCAGGTACTCCAGCTCCTTCTTGTCCTTGAGCGTCTGATCTCTGAAAAAAAAGATTGCATTCGATTGATTGCAGATACACAATAGTATATTAATTTTTTTAGGGGCGATTATAATTTAGAATGAGATTAATTTTGTAGTATCTATGTGATACCAAGGATAAATTCTCTTGACACCGATCAACCCCGTTTTGAAACCCATCCCATATTCCAGTAAGGATCGTTGTGGTGTTTTGATTGATTGTGGCCTATACAATGAGTTGCAGTTGTTTTCGATGAACAAGCCAGTCTTTTATCCTCCATGAGTCTGGTACCAATCACTCGACGTCGGAGTGATCTAAGGCTCAGCTGGCTTGGGCGAGTACCGGTCCGGGATCTGAGCCCGGGACAACGATTGAGGTAGTGTGAGCGACTTGACACTGCACCAATGTTATATGACCCGTGCACCCACGAAGCTTACTACTCTTTGAATGGCTCTGTCTCTATCTCCACGGAAAATTTCTATATTTGGTGTAAAATTTGATATTGTATAAGAAAAACGTACAGTAACCACTGCCAGCAGTGCGAAAAGAACTATTAAGAAGTGAAGATGCATCTAAAAAATTCCGTAATTAAAATAGCTTTTTATTTTGTTAGGTTCAAAAATGCCTTTGGGAGGTCTTAAGGATGGCAGTCAGCTACTGGTAATGAACATCGAATTGAGAGCATGACTGTGGAGAAAGTGAGGCCCGTAAGGGCTCAAATGAAGGGAGAATGAAATGACTTCTCCGCTACTATCACCGTGCCTTTTATAGTGAACTGCTGACTCCTTATAAAGTTATTTAGTATTTTTAATTGTCATCCACAAACATAAAGACTTCCGAATTAATTGATTTAGCTTTACATTCATATTAACATTATTTGAACAGCAAGGATCCCATCAAAATTTGCACATGAAAGCAACAGTTATATTGCTATTTTTACATTCATTTTTTTCAAAAATCTCGTGATGCCGTCCGTAAGGGCATGAGAGCCTCCACTTATATTATACGTTCATACACGTATGGAGTAGGGCAGAGCCTCAGAGAGGGCGGCAGGCCCCAAAAGTTTGCTCAGGGAAGCCTCTTCTGGAACCTCATTGAAAAAGTAACTTTTGCCTTGACGCGTGACATTTCGTCGCTTTGTACTACCCTAAAATTCCATAGATAAGAGCGGTTTAATTTACCGGTGAAAAATGAATTTGAATTGTTTATTAAGTGGGCGGGGTTTAGAGTTGAGGGGCGGAGNTTTGCCTTGACGCGTGACATTTCGGCGCTTTGTACTACCCTAAAATTCCATAGATAAGAGCGGTTTAATTTACCGGTGAAAAATGAATTGGAATTGTTTATTAAGTGGGCGGGGTTTAGAGTTGAGGGGCGGAGCTTCTTTTGAAATTCTTCTCCGACTTTTATTTATCCATCCATCAAGTTAGAGCGATGACTGCATTCAATTTCAATTTCATTCTAATTCATTTTTCACCGGTACATTAAACCGCTCTTATCTATGGAATTTTAGGGTATATTAGTTTGTTAACCGCTAAAAGCGCTTCGATAAAGGAGATCAGAGGTGATATCCCTTATTTTCAGGTCACGGAATCTTCCGTTGGAAGCTTATATTGAAAAAGACTCCTTGATGGGAGCTTATATCGAAAATACATTGATGAAGTTATTGGGAAGTCACTTCTTGAATTTCACACCAGTGAAGTCGTGGTTGGTAAAGTCCTTGACTATGGTACTTTTTGGATAAAGGTGGTCGCACAAAAGTATAGATACAGTACTCAAGGCAAATGATTTGATTCGATTTCTGGAAGGTAAACGCGCTCATGAGTGAGGTTACGTATTTCTGAGGTAAAAGATATATCCCGACATAGCCAGACGACCAGATGCTAGATGGGTGAAGCTCGATCTCATTGGCACACGTGGTCACAGCTTGACGTAATGCAGTTTCTAGGGATCAACGATGAAGCGTTCCGATGTCTAGAGCTTGCCAATCCGAGGGCGGATACCTAGCTCCGGAAAGACAACGGCACCTAATTATATGTATCCGTAATGGAGTAGCTAGCACTCAATGTCTGATAGTAACCCCTTGCTACTAGTTAAACCGTCAAAATGAAGGTCTCGATGGTCCCGTTAAGATATGAATAGATGAGTGCTGTAATGATGCAAAAATGATGCTTTCATTGGAATGTTGTTTCGATTTTAGGGTGATGTATGGGAGTAGCAAGTTGCGCAGTACCATACCCACATTGCACGGATGGATTATCAGCCCTAATCCATTCAGACCAACTGACTGCCCAGTCCCCCCCCCCCTTCTCGCCCCACTCGACGTCTAGCTATGTACTTGCTACTTATGTGAAGAAACCTTTGTCTTCCATATCTGCAGGTTATTGTATGGGCCACATACTCATCCGAAGGTCATTGTGACTCATAATGGAAGTCGAATAGGTAAGCGCATTCGAAAAACTAGGATTCATCGACGCAAAAAAAATCTTTATTCATCACTGGAAATCATGTGATATCGGCAGGTATAAATAGGCATAAATATACAAATCTTTGTGTTCTTCTCGTACTTCTCTTCGAAGTCGACTGTGGTCAGCGTCTCAAGCCTCCAGTTAGATCCTCCTTGAGCAGTCCGTTGTGGTTGACCGAGTAGTATGTAGCACTTGCACTTTTATTTTTGCACCTAAGTGTGCACATTTTGCTTTTGCGCTTCTAACTGCACATCAAGAAGCCTTGTGCTTAAAAAAAATTAGTAAAAAATAGAACTACTGTGAGGTTATGCCTTAAACATTGAACCTACTTAGAAGTAGTCCGTAGATACCACTAGAGAATACGAGCATTTTTTTCTTCGAGGGTCAAGTGGTTATGCCGATCGACTCAATCCGCTGGGTGACCCGATATTCCCGTGGCCCGTCCTCGTCATATGTGTAATGGACGATCACTTCACTGCTTATACATAGTATCTCCTTTCAAAACAATATTACGCTACGTACTTAACGCTTATCTTCAGATTCCCACACACACTCCGTTGTGCCCTTTTTTCTAAACTTATCAGCATTCTTTGCATTCGCAACACATTCAAGATAAACGCTGATAAAAATTCTATGACTTCAAAAAAAAAAAATAATCTCATCAGTGGCTGAGAGCAGTTTCGAGTAAAAAATTCAGTGTTTTTTGGTACCGTTCGAGTTCGACTTTTCACGAATGGCGATAATTCTTGAAACATTAGTTTCCATTCCAACTTTTATTCAACTTTTCGTAGTAATTTTCCATTCTTTGCATTCATCCCGATATTTTACAAAAGGCAGGTGTTTTAGATGAACTTGGATGAGGTTCCAGGACTCGTGTACGATATGCCATGAATAAACGTACTACTTAGCAATACTGACGGAATTTCCAGGGACCCTAAAAAATTCCAGCTTTCACATTCTTTCAATCGCACATCCACAATCAGTGATTTAAACCATTTGAATATATTACTCTCGCATCGATCTTTAGTGGACACTGGTCAATACATATACTTAAGCCAATATATCCATACATCCGCTTTCAATTCTTCATTTCTGTTCTACTGTCCTCTATTACAGTAATCTTTAAAACGGGATTGACATGGCCTTTGAACCAACCTTCCAATAACTTTGAAATTGCAAAAAAGTTGGTAATTCAGATTTCTATAAGCTGGATTCCCCAAATTTCCTTAGCTGCGCACTTACGCAAGAGTTTGTTTTCAGTACTTGACATTTTATGCCTTTGGTATGAAATCGCCATGGCTATTGTTTGTTGTGGGATGTGACAGGATCGAAAAGGTCCATTGACTGAAAGTGATAATAGATGTTAAATCTCGATAGGGTCCTTGAAAAATAAGGATTCACTAAGTTCGTTAGGCATTCCTTCCTCAGAATTTCAATACCACTTGATATGGAGATGAAGCAATGCAATTGAAGGCAGTTTCCTCACAAGAGGTAAAACTGACGCACAAAATCATTTCCCACAACTCCGCTTTGCTTTCGGTGGGAATGTTTTAGTGAAGATGCTATGCTTGTATAGTGATGAAAAATTGACGAAATCCGTCAATTTTCTTTCGCCCATCGATCTTTGATTCGAATAGCGAACGAAGAGCCCTGTTTTGAAGTACATCGTAGACATTTCAAATTTAAGACGTTTCGAAATGCCTTTGCGTTTTACGACACCACGCCTGCGAATTTTATTAGTGGGCTTCTCTTAGCCATATGTGCAAGCC